TTTATCACCGTTTTGATCAGTTTTAATTGCATAAACCCATTTTCCTCCCACTATCTGACGGTCGCTTGGGGTTGGGACTAATTCATATGTATTATTATCTTCCAATGCACTATAAGCTCATCATGCATAGCTTTTTGCCATTTACTAGCCTCGGGCGATTTTACCGCCTGCTGGTAATTCACTGGAATTTCAGGCACGTTTACTATCTTGTAGCAATAATCTACAGAGTAACTTACGTCATCTACAACATACTCGCTTAAATAACTTGGCTTATTCCTAGCTCGTGTCGGGTACCTTGCTTGGTTTTCATTGCTACTTTCTCCCACTGTTTCCTTTACCGGTTCATGCACTGTGGTTTCCTCTTTATCTATTTCAACTGGTTCCCTATGAAATTCCTCCTGGTCAGTGGTAACTTGATCAAGCTTATCCATGAATTTTACACATCTGACCTTTTCTAATTTGTTTGTTTCCGGGTAAAACACTAAGTACGCTGGACTTCCTCTGTCGTATCCCAGGAATATACCCTTTTGGCTGCGTGCATCTAATTTCTTTGCATTCTGTACATATGCATAACAAGTAGTGCCGAAAACATGCATATTACTCAGGTTTGGTTGCTTCCCCGTGAGGGCTTCATATGGAGTTTTTCCTAACTTGCATTAAAACATCTGTTCCTAATATATGCCGATGCTAATACGGCATATGTCCACAACATTTTGGGTAATTTTGCTTCGATTAATAGGCATCTTGCCATGCTGAATAAACTTCTCCATGCGCGCTCTACCGTCCCGTTTTGGTGTGGGGAATAAGGAGCACTAGTCTCATGCTTAATGGCATTCTTACGCAACAAAGATTTGAAGAACTGACTTGTAAATTCAGTTCCATTGTCGCTCCTAATTCGTTTGACTTTACCAAAAGGAGCAATATCGGCTAGGAACTTTTCGCTTGCCTCAACAGTATCGCTTTTTTGCTTTAAGAAATACACCATGATAATACCCGTGTAATCGTCTACGAACGATAAAGCGTATTTATAACCACCGCGGCTTTCCGGCTCAATAGGTCCAGCTAAATCGCAATGCACAAATTCTAATGACCCCTTTGCCCTTTGGTCTGGCTCACGGTTTCGAAATTGACACATTTTGCCCTGTGTACAGATGTCACAATCAATATGCTTATCACCTTCGTCATCGGTGATTTTCATGCCCTTAACCACTTACTGAAGCTTGCGCACGTCATTTAAATTGCAGTGGCCTAGTATCTTATGCCATTCCATCAGAGATGAAGCAGTATTTTGTGATGAAGATATACTGTTCAAATAATATAAACGCCCTTTCTGCTCTATATTATACACTACACCTTCGGGGTCCTTATATTGACTTACCTGTTGGCCTAAATTAATGCAAGCCCCTCTATCTATTTCTGCAGGGACAGAGAATATGTTTTGCCCATAGGAGGGAATGTACAAAGCATTAATTAGCATGACATCTTGTAACTTACCTGAGGCGTCGTACAGCTTCACTTTGGCGTCTCCTTTACCAAAAACTACGTTTGCCCTACTGCCGTCGGCTAGTTCGATTAAGTGGTTAGTGGGGTTAAACTTATCATCAAAACTAACGAACTTTGACTTATCATTAATTATGTGACTTGTTGCCCAAGTATCTACTAATAAATTCGTATCGACCTTACCTCCTGAACTTTTATCTCTATTTACATGATCTTTTACTGTAAATGCAAATGTTTGTGTCTCTGCTGCCGTGTTCGCACTGTCTTTCGTTTTTCTACAATCCTTCGTGTTGTGGGTCTTGGTCTTGCATCTGTTACACCATTTTTCACTTCTCGTCCAACAATCAGCGCTCTTGTGCCCTTTCTTGTCGCATTTAAAGCACTTCCCTTCGAATTTCTGCCCGCTATGCTTTTGGTTCACGTACATAACGTTGTCTTTCGCGTTTTCTCTTCTGTTGGTTTTCTCGCTCTCTTCGTAATTTCGCAAAGCGATCTTAAATTCAGCGAAAGTCATTTGTTTCTCCCGCTGTATTACGACCGTGGAGAATGTTTTGTAGCTTGCAGGCAAACCTTTGAGTGCCATCGCGACCAACAGCCCTTCGCTAATAACTTCCTCAGCGGCCTTCAGTGATGTCGCAGCCGTTTCTGCGCGTATAATGTAATCTGTACTCGTCTCATTTTCTGCCATCTTCAAGGAAGTCAGTTCCGTATATAAGGCAATGATTCTCGGCTTGCCCTTTCCCTGGTAATGTTCTCTAAGAACGCCAAGGGCTCGTCTACCATTATCTTTCGCTTCTCTTATTATAAGAGACAGACTTCTATCATCCAGACACTGGACGAGCTCGGCGAATGCATCTGCATTCTTTGTCGCATCTAGTTCTTCATCATCTGCAGGAGGGACGAATATTTGGTAAAGCTTCCGGAGTCTCATGTACCCCAAAAACTTTACTTCCCATAACTCATATTTGCTTTCGTCTCCATCGAAGATTAGCCCTTTCCTGGGCCCATAACCTGTTAAGTTTCGTAATGTTGCCATCTCTCTATCTTGAGTCAGAAGCACAACATACAACGTTTGGAAGCTTTTTCATCTAATGTATTTGTTACAGAATCACTCGTATTTATATGGTTACAGCAATTTGGATTAATCTATCTTTACACAGTTATTTTACTATAAATGGAATACAGTTTTCATAAGAGAATGAATATATAATTTTATGGTATGGTATGTGACTGTTCAGTCTGAATATCCCTTTTTGGTTACATAGTTTTCTCTATACTTATTTATATATATATATATATATATATATATATATATATATATATAATATATAATATATATGTATATATATATATATATATTATATATATAATATATATATATAATATATATATATATATATATATATATATATATATATATATATATATATATATATATATATATATATATATTTATATCTGAATCTATTTTCGATTACTGGGGTCTTATTTTGGTTAGTCTATATGGTTAGTCTTTTTACGTTAATCATCACTAGTCTATTTTTGTTTAATTGGATATATGAGCACATACTTTAACACTTTATCATGAATAATATGCTAAATATGATCAAGATCATAATAAAAATTATGGTTGCCATAGTAACCATCATTTATCATGAATAAAATGCTAAATATGATCAAGATCAATATAATGAAAATTATGGTTGCCATGGCAACCATTATTTATCATGAATAATATGCTAAATATGATCAAGATCATCCTAATGAAAAGCATGGTTGCCATGGTAACCATCATTTATTATGATTGATATGTTAATTTTGATCACTATCATCAAAATGATGATAATGGTTACCATAGTAACCATCATTTATCTTAAATAATATGCTAAATATGATCAAGATCATCATAATGAAAATTATGGTTGCCAAGGTAACCATAATTTATCATGAATAATATTCTAAATATGATCAAGATCATCCTAATGAAAACTATGGTTGCAATTGCAACCATCATTTATTATGATTAATATGTTAGTTTTGATCATTATCATCAAAATGATGATAATTGTTACCATGGTAAACACCATTTATCATAAATAATATGCTAAAAATGATCAAGATCATCATAATGAAAATTATAGTTGCCATGATAACCATCATTTATCATGGATAATATGCTAAATATGATCAAGATCATCATAATAAAAATTATTGTTGCCATAGTAACCATCATTTATTATGATTGATCTGTTAATTTTGATCATTATCATCAAAATGATGATAATGGTTGCCATAGCAACCATCATTTATCATGAATAATATGCCAAATATGATCAAGATCATCATAATGATCATCATAGCTCCAATTGCAACCATAATTTTTTACGATTGATATGTTAATTTTGATCATTATCATCAAAATGATGATAATGGTTGCAATGGCAACCATCGTTTATCATGAATAATATGCTAAATATGATCATTATCATTAAAATGATGATAATGGTTACCATGGTAACCATCTTATCGTGAATAATATTCTAAATATGATCAAGATCATCATAATGAAAATTATGGTTGCTATTGTAACCATCATTTATCATGAATAATATGCTAAATATGATCAAAATCATCATAATGATCATCATGGTTGCAATTGCAACCATCATTTATCATGAATAATATGCTAAATATGATTAAGATCATCATAATGAAAATTATGGTTACCATGGTAACCATCATTTATCATGAATAATATGCTAAATATGATCAAGATCATCATAATGAAAATTATGGTGGCTATGGTAAATATCATTTATCATGGATAATATGCTAAATATGATCAAGATCATCATAATGATCATCATGGTGGCAATTGCAACCATAATTTATAATGATTGATATGTTAATTTAATCATTATCATCAAAATGATGATAATAGTTAGCATAGTAACCATCATTTATCATGAATAATATGCTAAATATGATCAAGATCATCATAATAAAAATTATGCTGGCCATAGTAACCATCATTTATCATGGATAATATGCTAAATATAATCAAGATAATCATAATGATCATCATGGTTGCAATTGCAACAATAATTTATTATGATTGATATGTTAATTTTGATCATTATCATCAAAATGATGATAATAGTTACCATGGCAACCATCATTTATCATGAATAATATGCTATATATGATCAAGATCATCATAATGAAAATTATGGTTGCCATGGTAACCATCATTTATCATGGATAATATGCTAAATATGATCAAGATCATCATAATGATCATCATGGTTGCAATAGCAACCATCATTTATCGTGAATAATATGCTATATATGATCAAGATCATCATAATGAAAATCATGGTTGCCATGGTAACCATCATTTATCATGGATAATATGCTAAATATGATCAAGATCATCATAATGATCATCATGGTTGCCGTTGCAACCATAATTTATTATGATTGATATGTTAATTTTGATCATTATCATCAAAATGATGATAATGGTTACCATAGTAACCATTTTTTATCTTGAATAATATGCTAAATATGATCAAGATCATCATGCTGAAAATTATAGTTGCCATGGTAACCATAATTTATCATGAATAATATGCTAAATATGATCAAAATCATCGTAATGATCATCATAGTTGCAATGGCAACCATAATTTAATATGATTCATATGTTAATTTTGATCATTATTACCAAAATTATGATAATAGTTACCATGGTAACCATCATTTATCGTGAATATTATGCTAAATATGATCAAGACCATCTTAATGAAAATTATGGTTGCCAAGTTAACCATCATTTATCATGAATAATATGCTAAATATGATCAAGATCATCATAATGAAAACTATGGTTGCAATTGCAACCCTCATTTATTATGAATAATATGTTACTTTTGATCATTATCATCAAAATGATAATAATGGTTACCATAGTAACCATCATTTATCATGAATAATATGCTAAATATGATCAAGATAATCATAATGATCATCATAGCTCCAATTGCAACAATAATTTATTATGATTGATATGTTAATTTTGATCATTATCATCAAAATGATGATAATGGTTGCCATGGCAACTATCGTTTATCATGAATAATATGCTAAATATTATCAAGATCATCATAATGAAAATTATGGTTTCCACGGAAACCATCTTTTATCATGAATAATATGCTAAATATGATCAAGATCATCATAATGAAAATTATGGTTGCCATGGCAACCATCATTTATCATAAATAATATGGCAAATATGATCCAGATCATCCTAATGAAAATTATTGTTACCATGGTAACTATAATTTATCATGAATAATATGCTAAATATGATCAAGATCATTATAATGAAAATTATGGTGGCCATGGTAACCATCATTTATCATTGATAATATGCTAAATATGATCAAGATCATCATAATGATCATCATGGTTGCAATTGCAACCATAATTTATTATGATTGATATGTTAATTTTGATCATTATCATCAAAATGATGATAATGGTTACCATAGTAACCATCATTTATCTTGAATAATATGCTAAATCAACCTCGTTCCTAGGGCCTTTATTGAAAACGCGGAGGGGGGGGAGAAGAGAAGAAGGCCCTGGCACCGGCTGATTCTAAAACCACGAATCGTGGTTTTAAATCGATACTTAAATATTCCAAGATGGCCGACCCTTCGAAGTGTTTACACCACTTACACGTGCTGCAGCGACTTCATAATGCTTTAAAAATGGGAGGTTTCCCATCGTTTGTCTTAAAGCCGTTACAGATTAAATGTTTTGAGCACATACTAAACGGATTTACGTCGTTGCTGTTTTACCAACTGGCTTTGGCAAATCTCTTCTGTTTCAACTTCTGCCAAATTTCTTGCTGACCAAAGCTGACAAAAATATCGTTATTGTTGTCTGTCCTTTAAACGCAATCATCGAGGACCAGTTAAAGGTTGCTAAGAACATCGGTATTGAGGCAGAAGTTCTCCAGCTTGTTGATCATTGTATGAAAGTAGCGGAAAGCTTGTTTAAATCGGATGAAATGAATGCAGAAAGTGATGATGTAGGTGTACTTTTAAGCGACAAGATGTTAAATGGAGATGTTCAACTTCTTTTTACCCACCCGGAAGCCTTATTAGGTGAGAAAGGAAGAAATCTAATGAAAAGTACAGTGTTTCAAAGAAATGTTGTGGCGTGTGTTGTAGATGAAGCACATTGCGTGGAAATGTGGTGAGTGTTATTGGTATATTCATATAAATTTAAAGTTGTTCATGCATAGCACATAGTACAGTGGAAGAATGTATTGGTATTAGTATTATTATTGGAAATCATTCGATGGCGCATACTATTAATCCCTAATTATTGTACAAGCAATTGCTTATTATTAGCATGATAAAATCGTAACAATTTTGGAACTGCTTTGTTAAGATCATTTCATTTGGGACATAATTTTCAATCCTAGATTTTCGTATGTACAATATTTTGTACTTTTGCCAGTATTTTGTTTACCTTTTTAATTCTGGCTTTTTTGTTCATCCAAGGCTGTCTAGTTTGCATGAAAAGAACTTTCTGCTATTTTGTTTAATTTGGCTAAATCATTAATTGGCCTGCAATACTATTAGGGAAATAACCATAACCCTCTCCTAGCAACCAGTGATTTAATCATGCTGTTAATACGCAAGGAAATTTAATTAATTTATATTCACCTTTCAAATACTATTTTGTGGGTGGCAAGAAAGGCAGCATAATCACTACTCAGAGATTGCAGTTATGCAACTAGATGGAGTGGTCTAACCTGCATCTTGTCCTAAATGAGAGTTTTTCTGTTTTCAAGGGGTGATGAATTCAGAAAAATTTTGGAAATTTGTCCATTGTGCGTGCCTTCTTTCCAAAAACTCCATTTCTTGCACTCACAGCAACAGCACCACCACATATGTTGAGCAACCTAAAAAATAGCATGAATTTCAACAGCTCTTGCAAAGATGTGTCAGCTAACCC